GCTATACTAATACAAGGTCCATTGTCGGCCATTTTTATTATGGTTACTCCCACGCATTTTGCAATCAAATTACTTCCGGTTTGGGACGGGTGCGGTTCGACTGTATAAGCAAATGTTATAACATCCCCACTAGGGATACATTGCATTTGTATGACCGAGCCCGAGGGCAAGGTCATACGAATGTAATGTATCCCGCAGTGGGGGTGTTATCAACATATTTACCAGTTTTATATATATATAAATATGTTGTTGCAACTCATTGTCATATTTTGACTACTTCGACTAAAAACTTATTTTTGGCATAATGTAGGTATTTATTGATTTACAGGGCTTGAAAATCAAATCAGCTACTTCTGGCTACTGCTGAAGTTAACTTTCAACCTTGCTGTATTGCTGTAGCACTAGCTAATTATTGTATTAAGAACATCATTGTAGTTTCTGAGACTTGTGATGTAAAACCTTAAAGTTTTCAGCTCAAACCTTCAGCCCCACCCCCTTATTAAGTTTAGCTGATTATCTCTGTAGTTGTTGGTTCAAATTTAGTACTTTATTTTTCATAACAAGTAATTGTGCATACCTACTTGTTGATACCAGACAACAATCAGAATTACACTGCTAGCATACTTTAAAAAATCTTTTATCATTATGCAACTTCTGTATGGCTAAATCTCTTATCCATGGATCAAGTGAAAGGGCCTTGCCTCATGAACTGCTTCATATTGCATGCCTTCACTGCATAATAGCAAATGATTATATTTTAAAATATTTTTTGGAAATTAAAAATTAAAAAATGACATACACCAATACAACATTTGGTCATGCATGTGTAGTCCTGTGCTCTTGATACTACATAGCTTGATACTTGAATTAGACTATAATCATACAGAGAAACATAAAATGGGAAAACATAATTGACCTTACTTGAATGAAATTCTTGATACTTTTAGTAAGCATAAATCCTAAGCTCGAAAGAGACAGAGACACTAAAGTGATAGAGAAAAAAAATGGCAAAGAGAGGGACGTGCACAGCAGTGAATTGTAATGGTAAATCAGATTAAAGAGCAAAGATGACTGTAATCAAGAGTATATAATGGGGAAGCTGTAATTAATGCTATTCAGTGCGTATAAGTGTAATGGCAATCACTTTATTTCATAAGCTACGTGTATACTTTAATAAATCAGTGACATACATGTAGGCCTGTGTGTGGCATACATTTTGATATGCATGTGCTAAATGTAAACAAACATATTACACATGCAGATGTAAAAAGGAAGGTAGAGAGGAAGGAATGTAGGATAGAGTCATACAGGAGCAAAGATGAGAAAGATGCAGAGAAAGAGACATGAAGAATAGTGAGCCATAAAGAGAGTAAAGAGAGTGTATGAGAATAGACTATATTCAAGGAAATTACTGAAGATTGTATGTAGTGCATCTTAAGAGGGAGGCAAAAGGAGATCAAATAAGACCATACATGTAGAAAAAGACATTGCACACTAAGGGAAAGAGATGAAATGTTGCCAAGTGGTATGCACAGCATTTCCCACAGGTTTTGGTATAGTGCTCAGCATTTTAACAGTGGGTTTTTAAAACTGCTCTACAGTTTAACAAAACATCCTGTATTACATGTATGTCAAAAATTGCTGGAAGTGAATTTCATTTTTTCTATTATTTTCTGATACATAATATATGCTCTTATGTTGTGTCGAAAGTTCGAGCTGATTCTGATCAAATTTGGACTTTAAATGAATTTATAAAGTTGCTCAAAATTTGGACAAAATACCCTGTATTATATTATAGTACACATCTTTGGTCAAATTTTATCAAAAATGGCTATGAGAGAATTCCCCGCTTTTATAATTTTTTTATAATTCATATGCATGTTCCTACTTTGCATAGAAAGTTTAAGCTGATTTTGATCAGAATTAGATTTTTTTGCAAATTTCTAAAGTTGCTCCAAATGCCACTATACATCTACAAATATGTGTACACATACATGTACATACATGTGCTTGTCAACTCATAAAGAATGCTGTTTAGCTCACTTAGCATGCTTTGTGGGAAACCATGGGTATGGTATCATAAGGAGGGTTAGAGACATAAAGAAAGAGCTCAATGTTAAAAAGTTAACAAGAGATAAAAGCTGCAAAGGGCATGCATGGGATAATAAATTCAATAGGTAATCACTTATATAATATTATTATCCAATAAAAAAAATATCAAAAAAGAGCATGCATGGGATAATTAATAGACAATATAGTAATAGTAATAAGACATAATACCGTATAGCGGGTTTTTTTCGAGGATAATAAATTTCGCGAATGACCCATATCTGGAAGTTTGCGAAATTAATTTTTGCGAATTTCCACTAATCTGCCATCTTGTACTGTATTAAATTGATTTTCCAAGGAATTTAATTTCGCAAATCAAGAAAAAATCTTTGAAATCCGCAAAATTTGTTATCCTCGAAAATTTCCCGCTATATGGTAACAGTAACAGTAATACACAAATGTGACAAGCACTTACAGTGATCTATAATACTAAATCTTTTAGAATAATTACATATTGCTTAAAGGCTGCACACTAATAGTAATAGTATTAATAGATTTACCTAATTATATACATTTCTATACATAATAGTGATGTACGTAGTGCATTCCCATGTTTGTCCACAACACAAATACAAGACACCCACACATACATGTAGCTATATAATACTTCTTTTCTCAGCATGCAAGTGCAAATCTACAGTAAACAAACTGAAATCTGTTGTCTATTAAAATACTACAACAGAAAGCTACTATTAAGATAGTACTACAAATCTGTTCATTATTACTTACAATTAATATTTCATAATTTGGCGTAGATGGGACAAGACTACATGGTTAGTAGTATTATCTAGTATAATTAATGAAGCAGCTAAATGAAAGTCGCAAACACCAGCATTATGTAGATCTATTAGTGCAGCAACAATATACTCAATATTTGTTTTGCAACACTCAAACTAATTTAAAACTTCAACTAACTTAAATAGTGTGCTCAATAGTGGTTGCTGTACAGACGCTACTGTAGTCAAGTAATCACTAATCAGTATAGACCCAGGAGGTGCAGCACAGATATACTCCATCTTGCCTTCAAGGTGTGGCTCGAAGTGCAGGCGAGGTTAGAACTATTGCGGTATAGCAAGCAAGAACTTTTAATTTTCCCATTCATTTGATAGGAAAGGCTTCCGGACGGGTGAAGAGTGTGTGGCTCGCTCAAGTCCTGAAATATTTCCTGTGTGTCTATCTCGAGGTCTATCTCCTTATTAGCAGGATGGATACTTCAGCAATCATTCATCTAGCAATGCTACTTGCTCCTATGATACCAATCTCT